AATCAAAATTAATTCCTGGGTTTCAGTCATTTATTGTCTCTATTTATCAATTAAAATACGTTTCGGTGTATTTTTCCACCATCATCAGTTTTTCTTCAGTTTTCCATATCTCTTCCTTAAAACAAGCTAATTTTGATTTGGAATTGAAACACAGTCAGGAAAGTATATACAATGAAGGATAATGCTTGGGAGGGTTGTTTTAAGGAAGAGATATGGAAAACTGAAGATAAATTGATGATGTTGGAAAAATACACCGAAACGTATTTTAATTGATAAATAGAGACAATAAATGACTGAAACCCAAGAATTAATTTTGATTTGGAATTAACAGATAGTTACAGGTGGATAGCTCTTAATATATTAATAATTAATATTAATAAATACCGGCTACACTCCTACCACGTACGTAAGATCACATTAAACCAATGAATTACTGAACACCGGTATAAATTGAGCAGGAGCTAATTACCGAATACGAGAAGCTGCTCGAGAAGAGTGCATAATGAGAGCATGACAATTACAGAGTCATGCTCTCATCTAACCTAGTCTTTATAAATATGAACAGAGCGATTGATCGCAAGCAGTACTCTGCCTGCCATCTATTAATTTCCAACTAAATATTTTCCGCCCGCGCGATTGAGCTTCAAAATGCAAACAAAAAAATGACGCAAATAAACTCACTTACTTCAGTCATATGAATGTGGAACTTATTCCAGCGATTGATCAAACCATACCCTTGCTGCCATCTGGCAAACATTCAACCAAACCCTTCGAGGCGCGCGATTGGCCCTTGAAATACAAACATTGGCTGATACAAACAAAAAAAAATCCGCTCCCTGACATTTCTGGAAGAGCCTTTGAAAGAAAAATGATTCGAACTGAACGAAAAATCATCCTCGAAAAGGAGCAAGAAAACTCCTTTGCTGCATACGCCACAATGGAGTATCTGCTCGACAAACTAAAACTGCTCAACTACGAAACGGAATTTCTCACTCAAATCAAACTCAAGCCAATTCACAGGTTAGTTGAATCATTGCTGGAAACTAAATCAACGTTTTGGCTCGATTTCTAACATTTCCAGATATTACTTTGTTGTCACAAAGAATAGTGGTGAGCAATTTTACTTGTTCTCTATACTAGCCGCCTGGCTGATACGCAAAATTGGAAAACCGTTCCAAACACCTGAAGAATATGACGATCCCAATAGTACAATTGAACACATTCTGGCTGAAGTTAAGGAACTGGTAAGCGTTTTCACTGGAACTGAACAACAGCCGAACGGGAATGTTTTAGGGGATGCAGGTGGATTTTCCTCCGAATAAGCTAAAGCAGGGAGTTGGGGAACACGTCGTTAATTTATTGGACTTTTTAGCGAACACGGCCATTCACAAGCAAAATATTCTGTTACAGAAGTAAGTCCTTGGGTTTAATGAAGAAAAAAACGTACAAAGTGTTTAAGCCACATTTTTATCACCACTAACATATTGAGTCAACGCTAACAGCAAATAAATCCTGTTGTTTTCTTCCAATGGCTGCAAATCTAATGAAAATGCCTGCTTAAGGCGTTCGCTAAACTTCCCATCTCTGATATCAGGAGCTTTGAGTATGGAGCTCATATTTTTAGAGGCTTCCGAAAAAAATAGCCAAAATTCATAGCCCATTTGGAGCAAATAGTCTAGGCGAGGTTGAGTAGGGCTGCCCTTTACGACTGAAGAGTCTGCATCCCAGTCTAGATCCACAGTAGCTCGTTCTAGAACTGCCAGTCGGTTTTTCAAGTCACTATTGAATCTAGTAAGTTTTTCAAAGTGGGTTTTAATTGTGAGTAACTCCTCCTCGATGCAGCCTGTTTTAATGGGAAATTAAACATTGCCTAAGAACCGCTCTTAAAGCTTACCTAGAATCTTGAGTTGTAGGGCTTTCTGCATAGAGATGAAATTGTCAATGTAATCGATAGAAGCCTCTTCAACAAAACGCAATTGCTCGCAAAAGTTGATCAAAACCCGAACGGGGTCTTGCAGTTCTGCTAGAGTTGCCTTCCAACAATTCAGATGTAAAGGAAGCAACTTGCAAAATCCCACAAGCTTCTTTTGGATGTCCGATTCAATTTGAGCCATATCCATGCTCGTTTCCTGAAATATAATACTGTCTAATTCCAGACCGAAGCCTCCAGAGGAAAAGGAGCAGGAAACTGAAACTATCGACGATGAGGCTGAGTTGAATTTGGATCGAGTTGAGGAAGAAATGGTGGCAGCATATTCGGATGATTCGGATGAGGACAACATCTTGCGCATAGACAACATTAGGCCGGTATGTTTAGTTGGCCTTATTTAACCAGTTATTCGTGGCTAGTTACGGAACATCGTAGGTAAAGCGAGAGCTGGAAATTGACTTGAAACACAACATTGATGAGGAGTCTTGGCAGCTGGAAGTCGAGCGGGTTTTGCCTCTACTGAAAGTGACGATTAAAAACGAAAATCGAGACTGGAGGTATTAGGAATTCGTCAAAAAGCGTCTAATAATTAATAGCAACCACATTTTGCTTTAGGTCGCATTTGGAACACATGAAAACTTACAAAAGCAATATTGATGAATCCTTGAACCCAACAAAAAGCCAGCTGGAGAAGCTGCATAAGGAAATCACGTCAACTTTGGAAAAAATCGGCAATAGAGAAAAATACCTCAACAGGGAGTTGGACACTGTCCTCGACAATTACAGGTGAACATTTATTTGTTTATTTTAACCAAAAATTTCCCATGTATTATTGCAAGGTCGCTGCAAGACCAGCTATCCAAAATCAAAGAAAAGTACCGAAGCATCAGCACCGGAGTGGCAGAAAGGAACAGAGAACTGAGTAACGTTAACAGTAGAGTTGAGTCTATCAAGCAGCAAATGGAAGAGCGCGGTAGCTCAATGACTGATGGAAGTGAGTTCTTTACATTAAGCTATGTTAGGATGAAATAAAAATAATTGCCTCAATTACAGCTCCCTTAGTGAACATCAAGAAGTCGATTGCCAAAATTAAATCAGAAATTGCCGACATGGACGTAAGAATCGGCGTTCTAGAATGTCTGTTGCACCAGATCAAGATTAGGGAGGAGAAACAGATGGAAACTGCCTTTGATCATCCAATATCTGTGCATTAAGGTTTTTTGTTATTTTACTTTTCATTAAGTAGCTAGTTTATTTCTTCGCCAATAAAATTCCCTTTTTGGATGTAACAGCCCCTTAATTCGCTCTAAGGGTAAGCTGATTTATTTCTCCCAACTCTGTTTGGTATTGTGAGGTTTTATACCGCGTGTAGTCGAATTGATGTACGTTTGAGGCACTACCTTTGTACCTACTCCTTGTCTACGATGCTTCAAAACTATGATTACCTTCTTTATTTTAAAACAATTACTAGCCCGTTAATTTAAATTTAGTTTCTACTTTTTGGGAATTTTTCGTGAGACTTCCTGTTTTAGAAAATCGATGAAATGTTATAGAATGCATGTAGGAGGTTTGTAAGAGTCCATTTGCTGTTTACAATAGGCAAACAAATGATTTTCTTTATAGTCGTGATTAATCAGTTCGTTTTCCGCTCTGGGCAACGAGCAAAAGGCCATTTATAGGGGCAAAGGGCTGATTCTTCAAAAAGAGGGCCTTTTATCCCGGCCACCATGCATTTAGCACTATTAAAAGGATTGCGGTATTTGAACAATGGAGCTTTTGTTAAGAGATTAATTAATGTTGGGGACACAAAGACTGGTATCTCAATAGGAGGCATATTTCGTGATAATAATGAAATGCAGGTGAATGAGTTTTCAAATGTACGCCACTTGAGTTGATTTCAATGTAAACATATGCGTGTTACTAAAACGTACCGCAAGTAGTGAAAACTATCAATTATAATGATCAGTACTTACCATATTTGACCCAGAGAAAGCTAATTTAAAAAATTCAAATAAACAATAAACACCAGAGACATAACCTAAATTTCTTCAGTCAGCTGACAAAAATAGAAATTTGCATGGGAACTTTCCAAAACCATTGCAGAGTCGCCAGTGGTATTGAAGGCAACATTACAAAATTTATTACATTTTCCTAGTATCTATAAAAGGTGCATATATAGTTTGTATTTATGACACAAAAAAACTGCATTTGTAAAACCCGTGCAAGATCCTTGCTCCGTTAGTTCTCCCAGCCGCCGGCGAGGGCTTGTGAAACGTCAGTGGTCAGATGTTTGACATTCAATCAATCGATTTTGTATGACGAATCATAAAAAAAGTGTTTCTTGCGGTAAATAGAAAGAAAATGTCTGCATTTGGGGATAATTTCGAGCAAGATGCTGACCCTGCAGCAGAATTCTTGGCTAGGGAACAAAACGAACTCGCAGGGCTGGAAGATGAGGTTAAGCCTGCTGCAGTTGTGGTTTCATCAACACTGGCAAACAGTGGTGAGTGTTTGGGGGCGTAGATCCACTATTTTTGCATGTTTCTATTTAATTTCATGTATATTGGTTATACATTGGTCGTTTACACTGCCTACTGTATAAAGCTTTCGACTTTAAATATCATTTCAGTTGGTTTTTTGCAAATGTTTCAACCCTAATTTATATACTTTGGATAACGAACATACCCTTAAAGCTCTTTGCATCAATGCACCATCAGTAATCGTCTTTATTTTGAATCGTTGTTGAAATATCTACCTGGAAAAAGAAACTGAATTTAAGCTCGTTTCACTTACAAACTATCTAAATCATGAAATACCCAGCCAAAATTTGCTGATTTTTAGAGCTTCAGCTGCTAATTAAAGACAAGTACCATCAATAAGTTGAAAGCTTTATGGTTTTTATGGATGTTTCCCCAGCTTGCTCATGGCTATTTCTTTTCTTTTGCTTTACATGTCCAGACGATACCACTAACTCTGCAGGAAGTTTTGAAATGGTCGAAAATTTCGAACAGGATGGCTTAAAGAAAAGAGATCTCTTTGATCAAGACACTGGTCTTGATGTAAAGAAAGATCCTTATGATGGTGAGTTACATTATACCTACCACAATTACATACCGGACATAGCTGATGTTATTGTTATTATTTCAAATGTTTTGATTTAAATTTTGCTACTGTACCTGCGAAAAATGCCCATTTGTTTTTAGTTCTATTTTTTGTTATTTCTTCTTAGATATTTATGGAGAGCAGGAAAATGCAGATGCGTTTGGTAAGCCTGTGTTGTGTGCTGTTTCTCATTGGTTTAAATGTGTAAATGATCATTTATTGGATTTAATTAACACTACCATTAGTATACGAATGTCGGCAAGGATTAATCATCAAATAATCACTTAGGTATATCGGAGGAACGATCTGAAGATTTATGGGATTAATGCATTTTTAGGTTCCGTTGGTGTGTCCCCGCCGATGTCTTTTAGCCAACCTAGAGAAGAACCCGAGAAAATCAAGAAATGGAGGGAAGAGCAAGTAAAACGTCTGGAAGAAAAAGGTACATTTAAAGATTTAGTTGCCTAGAGCACGTTATTACAGCATTTTTATTTTAGACAAAGAAGAGGAAAGGAAGAAGGAGGAACTGAGGGAAGTCGCAAAGAAAGAATTGGACGATTGGTATAGAAGTCACGAAGAAACCATTGCCAAGACCAAAGCAGCCAACAGGTATAATAAATTTATATAGCTTAGAAAGTACTGACCGTGTAGGTGTTGAATGTTTATTCAGACTTCCGTTGCCTTTATTGGATCATATCGGAAACGTTCCGATAAAGTACCATCTCTGTAAGGTAGTGGATGTTTTAATAAACCATTTATATAATTTAGGGTTAAGTATTAGCACAATTTTGAGTACTAATATTTTTTTTTCATTTTCTATTCTATCACTAACAGGGATGCCGCAAAGTAAGTTTCTTTAACAAGTTTTGGGTTCCTTTATGTCGCTTTATGACACACTTAATGTGCATGTTCAAGGAATTTCCAGGAGCCAATTTGTTTAGTTAGAATTAAGGGTTCCACTACACTGTTTGTCTTTACCCACACAACACACAGTTTCAGAACGACTTCTTAATACATTCATATAACAGTGGCGGTTCAAGTTTCATCTCAATTGTTCGAAAAATCTAAGCCAAGTTAGAAGAATAATAACGTCATTATTGATTTGTTCACAAGCTGCCCCTGTTTTTTCCCGCATAGTACAATTGGGTGATGGAAAAGAATCATTTACATTTCTCAAACATCTTTGAAGTATGTTTTCTTCTCAGGAACGCTGAAAAGCAATTTGTAGCAGAAGACGATGAAATCCAACCAGGAACTGAATGGGAGCGAATCGCTAAACTGTGCGATTTTAATCCCAAAGCCAAACCAGGTAGTAAGGATGTTTCTCGTATGCGCTCTATGATTCTTCAAATGAAACAGAACCCCGTTCAAATAAAAAATAAAGCTTAAACCAACGTGGAGCTCTAAGTGCAGGAATTGTTTTATCTTAGTTACTGCTAAACGTAAAGTGCTAATACTTAATATTATATTCGAATTCCAAACAACAATTTTATTTTAGAAGAATGCGATGAAGCATTGTTAATTTTATTGTTTTTCCAGTTTAAGAGTAAACGTTTATTGGTTTATGTACTGTTAATTAATTTGCCTGAACAAAACTTGTATAAAAATAGTTGAATATACGAAGAGTTGAGAAGGAGTCGATTTTTACAATGAAGACAGTTATTTCCATCATCAACCTTTCCCATAGAGCAGCTTAAGGGACTAGGAAAAATTAACTCGAAGATTTGAGTAGTTAATTAAACTAAAACGTAGACTTTCGAACAAACCCCGTTGGTGACAAAGTGGGAAACTCTGAAATAATTCCGCCGCGACTTCCAATTCGGCTGGAATTAAAAGTAATTCCCTTTATTCTGGTAAGACTGCGTCCGTTCTTTATTTATTTAAGAGCTCGTTTCCGTTTTTGATTTCATAAATTATTTATGGGGTAAAAATTTAATTTAAGATGTAATTATTCAAAATAGTGGCGCGCAAAGCCGATTACCTAGTCGGACTGAAGATGGTACTTTTACCCACCAATCAGATTAAATTTGATATTTCGCTTTAATTCGCCGAAATTCATTTTCTCCTTGCCCGGTTCAGCGTGATTTGGCGACATATTTTCTAATTTAAAGTTTAACCACATTTCATCATGTTCATCAACATTACATTCTCAAGCCTCGACGTGGAAAACCTGTCCTCGTTCTGATCAGACTTTTATCAACTGCAAATACTTTAGAGTTTCCGATTGAAATATGTTTTCTGTAGGCGTTTTCTGTTTTATTTTTTGTACATTTATTCGTTATATCGCCCACTGAACAATTTTCAATTTCTGAGCTTGCAATAGTAATTAATTTATATTTTAAAATTATTAATTTTTAATGCGAAAGTTTCTATACAAATTCGAGATTGAAATCAACCTGTGAGCAAATGCTTCAACCAAATAAAACGCGTACATTACCAAATAAACAACATTAAATATTAACGAAAGCCAGGCCCTATTTCAAAGTGTATGTAATTTTAGAACTTTCGGGAGCTTTGTTTTTCAAAGTTTAACTTCGGCTCACTTTAGCTCCATGTTTACTACGTGTAGAGTTCGTCCACATAACAAGATTTGTAATAATGTGGGGGCTCTTGTGTTATTGTATTCGGTTTGTTTGCGAATGATATATTAAATTTCTGGTCATGTTGTTTTGTTTATTTGGGCTTCCAGAGTTTCCCCGAAAAGGAACTCTGGACTTTTCGCACCTTAGCCAGCCTTAATGCCGCTTCAAATCGGATGTATAACCGAAAATACAATACCTATTGTGCAGATTTAAATAGGGGTAATTAAGATAAAGCGGTTTTCCGTACGCTTTGCTGTTTAGTTTTATCCAATTTATCGAAACAGAATAGAATGCGCGCTAATTGCAGTTTCGTTTTGTTTATGCAGAAACAATGGATATTGTTTTATGTATTAAATGTATGGTTTAATGCAATATTTATGGTTTTTTTTCGGCAAGGCTAAACGGTGTTTTATCTGTGTATAAATTGGGCACTATTGTGGGAATGTTTTGTTATTTATAATGGGGATTTTTTATGGGGAACTTGGGTAATTGGCCAAATTGCCAAATAAACATCGGATTTATGTAGTGCAATAAAAATGGTTTGTAAATTACTGGGTTTCGGGACAATAAATTGAAAGTGTTGGATGAAAAATTGGCGCTTTTATTCTATTTTTGTTGTTTTTTTTTTTCTAATATAACGGGTGTGGATCGGCGGAAAGCAAAAGTTATCAGATTCTCGGCAAATCGGGCGATGGTTTATAAATTGTGAATTCGGGTTGCAATGCATGGGAAGTTTGGACATTTTTTCGTTTTCTAAGGGGAAGCCATTACACGTTCCAAAGTTCCGATAGCCCGAACGATGGGACTCAGTTTTAAAGAGCGTTTTACGGACTTTTAGACGATATTTTGCGCATGTTTAGTTTTCAACAAATACAGGGTGATTCAAAATTGGCATCACTCCGTTGGTGGTGTTGTCTGGCACTCTTTTAGGAGTACCGAAAAAAAGTGAAGAAAATTTATTGTTATTAAAAACTGAGGAATTTTCAGAAAACTATATTAAAAAAACGGCAACAATGTTTTCCAAGGTAATCTGGCTAATCAACATTGCGTAAATACCTGTTGCTTCGTAATTATTTAAAACTCCGGTAACCAGGGATCAACAGAGAAAGTGGCAATAAGATAGACAAGGATAAACGGTAAATTCAACAGGAATCGTTCAAGGACGGAACCTATTCCGAAACTCATAACCTCGAATTATTAATTTATTTACAAAAACATACATTTGAGTCTGTAACTCCAAACAAGTGCCTGTGTAATAACCTTATTATGCACTCTTCTCGAGCAGCTTCTCGTATTCGGTTAATTAATTCTTGCTCAATTTATACCGGTGTTCAGTAATCCATTGGTTTAATGTGATTACTGTTAACGGTGTTAACTATCTGTTAATGACAAAAAATATCATTGCCGCTTCAAAAAATTGTAGAAAATAAATTTTTGAACATCAAAAATTTTCAAAAATATCAAAAGAATTTTTGAATTCCAAAAAAAAAAATGATTATGATCCAGACGATGAAATTCCACTTAACGAATGGTTAGAAAAGGATAAAGACTCTGACTACGAGTATGGCACAGACGAAGATGTCCCAATGTTGTCGAAGAACAAGTTAAAACGAAATTGAGTGATTTCAATTTCTTCGAATATGTGAGCATTGATAATGGCATTCTTACAAGAGAAATGTTGACCGATGAGCAAATTATAGACTCCGTAACCTCATCTACAGCTTTAAGCCATAATGAGAAAGATGACGATTTAGGTGAAACGTATTCTACTGTATACACTAATGCAGTTCCAAACATTTCTGAAATGACAAAAAAAAGTGTTCTCCAAGTTCCTAATCATATCTGGGAGTCCTTTTGTGATCTTGAAAACTACATAAATAATATCTATTTTTGCAGCAGAAATGTACAAACAAAAATTACAGACTTTATGAAGTATATTTCAAATTGGATTTTGTTTATCTTTTTGTGTTCTTTTTAGTCATACCTACTAACTTCTACTACTCTATGTAAAAACAACGAAATAAAATACACCACGTCTTTTTGTATTATTATTCGCTTATAGCGCACTCCGGATATAACGAACCAGTTTTACTTAATTTTTCAAGTTCGTTATATCCGGGCTCAACTGTAGTTTTTTTCTCAAAAACTGTGAATGCTACAAGATTTTACAAAAAGCACAAAATTGTGACTAAATGTATGTGACCGAACCTACCCGTAGACTGACCTTAGACCGATTACTCGTTTCTGCTGTGGTTTCTTTTATATGAAAATTATGCTGATCATAGCAAAAACGATGTTGCGTTTTATTTTAAATGTTTAATCGGTGTAAGTTGCCATATAATTTTAGCTTGGGTTGGTTTAGGTTTTTTAGTAATTTAATTCAACTGGGTCCAGCTTTTGCACATGTAACCGAATGAAAAGTAATTTCCTTACTTCCTTCATATTTGCGTTGTGTCGTTCCAAATAAACGGCATTTATGCACTTTTCTACCCCCAACATTTTAAATATTTTGAAAACTCATAAATTTTTAAAGCGCGGGGTTTACAAATCGTCAAAGATATACTCTTGTCCTCTTTCTTCGACATGGAAGTCTTTGGAAGAGGCCTATGTACAGAAGAAGATACGTTTTTCCATGACGGCCTGAAAGCACAAAACCCGACTATTTTCGGTAATTTTTGCCAAAATCAAGCTGTTTACGTTGTAGATAAAGCCTTTACGAATACATTTTCTTCAGTAACGGTCCTTGTGTAATGAACTTTTGTGCCACTTTTTCACTGTTAATAGTGTGTTCTTAAAAAGATTTAGAAAATTCAGAAAAAGTGTTCTGAAACGCACAACATACAACATGAGCAGCTTGGTTTTCCCGAAGCCGGTGAGTAGGTAACCAAACTGGAAAATTACCCCATTTTCAAGCGACGACCATGAAAATTCAAGGTTTTAATGACCTGTTAATTATGCTAAGTTGTGGAATATTTAACAAAATTCCCAAAATTTTACACCAGCCACTAGGCAATGAAGTAAGCGAAAAATCGGTTTGAAACATCAACTCTGTTACTTTCTTACTTGGCCGAAATTGGCCAGAAAATCGAAACAATGAAGCCTACATCGAGATTAAGAGGTTCGTATAAATCATGACTCTATTCCGGGGATCATCGATGTTTAAGTCTCTTTTCCCACTTGAGAAGTAATTGCACGTCTCTGCGGTTTTACACTTCAGCGACATTGTGGTTTATTACAGTGTTCGACCCGAGAACTTCTTAGCGAAGCTGATCCTTCCGCAGATCAGGCATATGTTAGATGCGGCGAATATAAAGTGCGCTGAGTTAGAGCCAAAGTTAATTAACAGTTGGTTAACTTTTATCCCACTTTTTCTTCTTAATTAAAACAGGTTTGTAATAACTGAACAGAGCAATCCAATATCAGTTTCCCTTTAAGACCCCTACGGGCAGAATTAATTTCTTCGTCTATTCCTCCATTGAATTAACATTTACACTGGACGAATATTTCATATTTCCAGCTGTAACCAACGCGAACCTTATCTTTAAAAGATAAGCGATCCAGTTGCGCGGGATGGAAAAAAAGCAATAAACCGCAATCCTATCCAGGCGTAAAACTTCCAAGACGTGTTTTTATTCGTTAAAGTGGCGAGCGGAGCGAAATTACCGATGAACTAGGAAATATAGTCATGATTTATACACTGTTCGCAATCTCGATGTCGTCTACAGAAGAGCAATTTCATATTTTTCCCAGGAAGTTCAAATGGATATTTATCATCATCTGTTTGCAGGTCTTCACAACTGATGAGGTAATTTAAAGGCAGATGATGAGTGTTTTTACGCGTTAACTTTAACTTTTTTCTAGCTTATCAGAGTCGTTAATATCATTCCGAGTTTACAGGAAGATTTTAAACGCTCTTTTAAACAACATTTTTTGTTTGTTTTGTTATTAAATTTATCTGTTTTTACAATAGTAATCTGACTGGAAGCAGCTCTTGAAAACGTGTTTTTATCATAAATGGTCCTACATTTCGTTTCAATTTGAAAACATAGAAAATAGAAAAATAAGTTTCCATTTAATTGCATGAAACAACATTTTGTTAGTGGTTTAAAAGTTAAAGTAGCCACGTTTTGCCGCCAACCGCAATTCAGTTTTTTTATTCATTAGCTGTGAGAGACTGTGAACAGTTGATGATTCACAAAAAATTCAAAGAGGGATTTTACTTTGTTAAAGTAAAAAATTGGAATCTCAATATCAAGTAATTTTTTAATCTGAAAAATAGGATTAGATTTGCAGGGTTTTTAATTTTAATAAAAAAAATGCTAAAAATTCTATCGGCGTGTTCACTGATTTTTTTTGAGCTACTAATTTTACCGACAAAACTCAGCAAAAGGTTAAAATAACCCCAAATATAATAAATAAAATAAGTTTAATGGACTACTTTTTTAAATAAACTTATTTATAGTTTTCCATAATACATATACCAATTTTTGGGTCGTCGGTTAAAGATCGTGACCGCTCAAAAACCATTGAAAATTCACCAAAAATCTCGATTATTTCGAATCTGAAGTTTCTAGTGTGGTTTCTAATAAGCTCTTTGCATTCATCTTTTCCTTCTGATGAAAACGATGTAGAATTCGAGGCATTTTGAGTGACTTGATATTTTTTGCCCTTATGAAATTTTCGATTAAAAATGAAAATTTCTCATGCTTGTTTTCTAAACTCATTGGACTTCTTCCGACCCAATATTCATACTTAAATTTTGGACTAAAAAAAATAAATTTTTGGATTAAAAAAATATCGTCGCTTAAAGATCGTTATCGCTCAAAAACCTCTGAAAATTGACCGAGTCGAGTGGAAAAGTCGATTATTTGAGACCTGATGATTCTTGCGTGTTTTTAATGAGCTCATGCGAATTACACAAAATTACCCTCGACATTTTGTGGGGCTCATGAATTAAATCCTGTATATGAAGACTTTTCTTCACTTCTTTAAGTAGAAAAACAAAATTAATTGTTTCGATTATTCACTTTTGAACTTGATTAACAATTTTTGCCGCTGCAGTTATAATCAAAATGCCGATTTTTCTGGGAGTTAAAATTTTTTTCCCAAATCCTTTTCTCAACCATCGAGTTGAGGAATTTGTTGGTCAATGCGGACCTACGTTTTTAACCATTTTTTGAATTTTCCTTCAAAATACTAACTTGTTTTTGGAATGTAAATTTTACAAACCATCCGATAAAAACTTTGAACTTGATGAATAAAATCAAATCAGTTGTGCTGACTTGTTGGTAATTAAACCGCAGAAGTGTGGAGTTGAAAGACGCGCTGGCCATTTTCATGTCGAAATGTCAATGTATCACATTAGAGTCGAGATCATCCAGCTAAATAGGAAATCGAAACTGTATTCACGCTTGTGTTCGACAAACATGTCAAACAAATCGCTTTCGCTCATTTTCGTTCGGGAAATTGGAAAACAGACAATGGACATTTCAAGCCAGTGGAGCCAAATTAAATTCAACTAACTTATTAGCTTTATTTCCTTTTTTCCTGTTAGTTTCATTTTTTCACTACCTATCATTGTTCAGGTCAAACTCAGATAACTTTAGATTAGCGAAAATGACAAAGAACGCGGCATTAAACAAGTAGAATTGCACAAAGAAAGGAAGTTTCAACGTTGATTTATCACGAGCGTATAAATAATTATTTATTCCCTTCTCATACATGCTTAACTCTTTTGCTGACTTGACGAGTAATTGCACGTTTCTGCGGTTTTACAGTTCACAGAGTTTTCGGCTTATTGCTTGGCACGTTTCGTGATCTTCTTAATAATGTTGATGTAATGAAGATCTCGCATGTATTATTCGCGGGGTATCAAAGATTTTGCTTTAAAAAAATTGATATTTCATTATTGCTTTAAATCAAATTATAACAAGAAAAATAGTTTTTCCAAGAGAAATCGTCAATTGGAATTTTTTATATCATTTTGGATCATTTCTCCCGATTTATATTACCTTTAGTTATATAATAGACAATAGGTACCGGGTTGTCTTTCTTAATACGCATCTGAATCACACGTTAGCTTCTCCAAATAAAACAATTTTTTATATAATCGTAATATATTACATTTTTGGCAATTTACATATATTTTAACTATAAAGCGTACAATTGTCGACTATTTGTATTACTGTACTATTTTCTCTAGCAAAAATAACGGTTTGAACAAAATTATACGAAATTAAAAAAAAATTATAAAATGTGTTTCTGCCATTGAAATATTGCGAGCATCAGAACAAATCGATGCGCCATCAACAATAAAATAACGGGCTTAAAGTCAAATACCAAATATAAAATTCAGGCATTAATAAAACTGGGGATATTGAAAAATGTCCACGCAAATGGAATTTACCGGTGATCGCTAATATACTGTCTTGTTTGGAATATTTACTGAAATTATTTGTAAATTTGAGTAAATATGGCTAACAGATTTTTCAACTCCCTTTGATCCACAAACGTTTCAGCGCAACTTTTTTGCTATTCAAAAAATGGTTTGAATTTCCTACTATACCTAGACAATGACATAATATTAACGAATATAAAAAGTAAACATTTTTTCTGCAATTAGCGCTGTTACTTAGCATTTATGGACTTTTATGTACATTATTCACTAATATTTATAAAATAGTTTTAAATATGTCAAATTATTGCTGAAATTTTTATACACAGTGGCTTAAGTTACAACTCGCTTCACCTAATATGTACAATGGTTTAGGACAATTTATTTGGAGATATTCGCTTGAGTTTGCAAGTTTATAGCGCCTGCAAAAGTAGCTGGTTCGACGTTTTGCCGTCTTTGTAATGGCTATAAATCGACAAACACCAAACCTGATTTACGTATGTTTTATATACTATTACATGAAGTAGGTATGCTATTTACTCTTCTGTACATAAAGCACATAGACGTTATTGAAAGCCCTAAAGTAACCTAAGCAAACCCAAAATCAAACATGTTTATTCTCACATTAACTACTACATAATATCAGACCTAGTTGAATAAGATCTTGAAAAAATGCCACCCAACAGAAAATTACACTGATTTCAGCTAACTTTCAAATACACTCTTAACACCATCATAAAAAATCCCTAAATTATTTTGTATTTTGTTTTCTATTTTATAGTAAAATAACATTATCACAATGGGAAATTTTGGCTTTTAAATCATGCTGAATTCTGTGGCAAAACTCGGATACCAAATGGTCATTTACGTAGCCAGATGGTTTCATATCAAAGCGAATGTATAAAAGTTCTTGTAAATGTGCATCAGTTGTAAAATCGTCCGGAAAATCTAAATCTGCTCCAATAAAATAAGGAGATGAATTTTAACTCAGAGTGAACGAACTGTAAAGATAGAAAAGAAGTAGCACGGAAATTTTGTATTTTATATTAAAACGAAAAACGACTTCTGGCATGAGAAGCCGAATTTTCTTCGTTCCATACCTTTTTCCGGACCTAATATTTTAATATTGGGGCCGCTACATTCCGGCTTGTCCTTATTTTTTGTTCTGTATTGAGGTTTTAACATTCCTCCTTCTGAGAGACATCAAAATTAAATACTTCCCATATAAGACTTCTCTTGACCAAATTATCTAGTGAGAATATTCTTGCGGGCCGTGAATAATCGGGAAGATTGGGAGCCATTAAAAGCCAAAATTGCTCTCAAAGATGAATTTTTTAAGTCCTAATTCCTTCTGTTGTCAGTTTTAATGTAAAGAGTGCATGTACGGCAAATCCTTGACGCTCGGCGACCATTTGTTAGCTGAAACAAGAAAGTTTATTGATACATTCAGGGGATTTTCCAGCAACTTTTTTCATTTTGTTGGCGACTTCATTATGGCGACTGGAGCCCATTATTTAGAAAGTTCAGCTAATTACAAACCGAAAAACCAATGAAATGAAAAAAATCGGCCTCCTGATTGGATAAGTTTAAATTGAGGTGAGTGGAGAGGACCTGTTTGCTCAGTGTGCGTGTGGCAAAGCACACTTGAAATGGATATTTTCAAAAGTCGCCATGTAATTGCAGTTTGAAACTTTTCCCGTAATGAACTCACCTCTATAGTACATGTCCTTGTGCATCGACGGACAGTTGTTTTCCTGCAACAAAACAGATTTTTAAATTTTAAATCGTGAAAATCCCGCACTCAATTTCAATGTTTTATTTTCCAAATTAACTGAATCGTCTAAGGCAAGCAAAGAGGGCGAATCATATAAATTTCACAGTTTCGTTCACTTCAAAGATGAAATTTTGCCGTAGGATGCTTGCGCTCTTGGTGATAAATTTTTAATACGCGCCTTCCTTAGTTATGAGATTATTGAATTTTACTGCTTGGCCTTATTCAGTTTTATGGACTTTAGATGCTTTTAACTTATTAGGAAAATTCATGGCGCTCCAGATCAATTGATCAATTCCCAAAAGGATTTTCTGATCAATCACTAAACGAAAAATATCGTCATGTGTGTTCTATTCAAGGAGGCGGTGGAAAATTGAATAAATTTTGCCTATATACAGGGCTCCATTTAGCATCCCGATCTTCAACTGAGGTTTTACAGGTCGGGCCTCAAAAAATAAGTAGAAGCGTGTGTTAAAACACATTTTTAGTTAATTTTTCCAAGAATTTTTAAATCAGCAAATGTAGGCAAATGACTGGACGTTCAGCAAACAAGATGAAGCTTCAGTTCAATATTGGAGCCACCCTGTATATGAATAAGTATTCCTGACCGACAGTTTCGATTTTTCAGCGCATTACGACAAGAATATATGCGGCGCATTTTTGAAACGTTAATCTCGGATTTAAAAAGTGAGACTTGACTAGGCGAACTGACTGAATCCAATTTTATAGCCCGCTAAGCGCATATTCTTAAGCAATTTAAAACTGAAAAATTCTGGCAGAGATGTTAAGAGACGTCGACAGGGATAATCCAGGTCGGCTTATTTCAGGAAGCACTTGCCAGCCGTCTTTCCTAATTTACCCGATAAATCAGTCACTCTCCAGATATGGTCTGAATTAAATATTCCTCAGAGTGGATAATGTTTTAAATAGAGTTGAAACTTTCCTTTGCAGTAGATTTAGGTGTAATTTATTTATGCCTTTAGTGTTCCACAGTTTTTTAACGACCCGCAACAATACTTTCACTTCATCTCATGATTTGAAGCCAATCTTAGCCTGTATATGCAAATCACTTTTAAATTACTCTTCACAAAGCCGCAAATTAGCGAAATAGACGCAAATTAACCACACCTAGAAGGGCGTGAAAATCTTAATTAAGGAGTCTAGATTTAGGGGAAAATTCCCACGAAAATTACCGGCAGCGGTAGATGATAATGTTTTAAGTTGGCTCGCTAAATATTCCAAGAGGGTCATTTAATAATGCGCTTCCAGCAAAAACACACAAATTATTCCCGGTGAAATTGGAGAATTTCCTTCTCCAGTTCCACGAAGGTTTCATTCGTTTCACTTTCATTCGGAACATTCTAGATGCTGACTTCGAAAATTTTAATTTGGGTAAAGATAAACTTAATAGGTAAAAAGTTAGTCAAGGGCAATATCGATATTTGTTTTGGATATCCGTCGTTCTTTTATTTGAAGATTTGTAAAGTAAAATACAGTAAAGTCCGCTTATAATGAACCCGGTTATAGTGAACTTCCGGTTAAAACGAACTTTTTTCCTTTAATTGAACCGTCGTCCATAAAGACCAACGTATTTTTGTACTGGTTATAACGAACTTCTGGATATAACGATCACTTTTTAGGTTAGTTGTATATTCACTTTCCGTTTATAACGAACTTCCACGCTCAGCAACACCAATTTATATTAGTGAGAGCGAGAGACAGGCAGTAACTTGTTGTTTTTTGCCGCGTTATGTGTGTAAGTCGTTTTAGAATGGAAAAACAAAAACGCAAAGCTTTTTCACTAAATGAAAAGTACGAGATTATTAACAAAATAAAAAGTGGAGTAAAGCAGAGTGACATTTGTAAGGAATTAGCACTTGGAAAGTCTACTGTTGCAACCATATGGAAAAACAGAGAACACATTTTATCAGCGTATGACAAAACAAATGTTAAATGTAGGAAGTTAAAATTATCTGCACATGAAAAGGTTGACAAAGGACTTATTAAGTGGTTTACTCAAAAAAGACAAGAAAACGTTCCCATAAGTGGCAGTGTTTTGCAAGAAAATGCTAGTGAAATGGGGAGTAAAATCAAAAACAAAGAGTTTGCTTGTTGTAAAACTTGGGAAGAGCGTTTCAAGAAGAGGCATAATATCAGTAGCGGAAAAATTGTTGGAGAGTCTGCCGGTGACAAATTCTTCTTATGAAAACGTTAGAGGCGATCGATAAAAATGAAACATTTTCTATAAATCTCTTAGATGCAGTCAATTTCATTCATAGAGCTTGG